CTAAGCAAGGTAACAAACAAAACTTAGGAATCGCGTATTCAAAAGGAGCGAATGAGACTCCGTCTACAGAGTACGCGTCTCGTGCTCAGTTTGTATAATAAAAATGCAAAGTATGATCAACCGTGAAGTGACTGTTTAGAAGAACTAGAATTGCTTCCGCTGTACAATTTAACATTACAAAATTCCAGACAAAATACATATCGTTCATAAAAAAATTAATGTACACTATTTTTATTAGGATTTGCATTTAATTAGTCTATTTATACATTATAAAATTAGACCAACCTTTCAAAAAGGTAAACATGATGATATTTAAGTATGCATATCATTAAAGGAATTCTGTTGCATCAGCACATTTTCTATTGTATTTTACAGTAATACAAATCATTCTGACAAGTTTCCCAATTTCGAACTATGTTTTTGTTGTTCTTGTTAAAGCACAGGAAAATGAATATCACATCGTATTGTTAATATACATGTTATATAAAAATCAGATGTGGTATGATTGGAAATAACATAACTATCCACCAGCGTTTAAATGACGTGGAATTGTGTGTGTGTGTGTTTTTTTTTTTTTAATGATTTGTGTATACAAATATATGAATGGAAGAGCAATATTAGAATACAAAAATAAATGACGAAAAGGGAAAATAATTAAGAAACTGTACTGGTTCTTGTCGATAAAACTAAAATGTTTCTTTCTGTGATTGTGATACCATTGTTCTGAATTGAGACAAACGTAGTTTACTAATGTTCTTCTAATATCAGAAGTCGTTGAAAAAGACTAAGCAAGGTAACAAACAAAACTTAGGAATCGCATATTTAAAAGGAGCTAAAGAGACTCCGTCTACAGAGTACGCGTCTCGTGCTCAGTTTGTATAATAAAAATGCAAAGTATGATCAACCGTGAAGTGACTGTTTAGAAGAACTAGAATTGCTTCCGTTGTACAATTTAACATTACAAAATTCCAGACAAAATACATATCATTCATCAAAACGAAAGCTGAGCAATATGCTCAGTGGGTAGAATATGGAATTTGAAGTAGTGTCTGAGATAAAAAAAAAAAAAAACTACTTATACATAATTACAAAAACTTGCCTCCAACACGTTTAAACATGATTTTATTCTCAACATGGGAATTATGGGAAATTGCATGAACTTCTATACGGGTTAACTTTCCTCCAAATTTCAGGAACTTTGTCCGTTGTTGTCGTATCTTTTAACGTAATGATTTTGTCATTTGTGAATTTAAAACTGAGTAATGATCTTTGATTTTTGGTATTTATCAAATGTATCTACATTTAATGAACAGGACTTGTAACTTACGATATGGTATAACCGCTTGCCTATTGTTGAACCATATTCGTGTCAATAGCTATGTGGTTTGTGTGTCATATTTTGTGTTGCTTTCTCATTTTCCTATACTGAAATCTTTTTTATTCATACAAGAAAAAAAAATAACAAACGTTAACTCTAATGTCTCTGATAAAATATTGAAAAAACATTGTTTTTATAATGTCCCAAAAAAAATTAATGTACACTTTTTTTACTAGGATTTGCATTTAATTAGTCTATTTATACATTATAAAATTAGACCAACCTTTCAAAAATGTAAACATGATGAGAATAAAGTATGCATATCATTAAAGGAATGTTGGTATATCAGAACATTTTCTTTTGTATTTTACAGCAATACGTATTATTCTGACAAGTGTCCCACATTCAAAATATGTTTCTGTTCATCTTGTTATAGCAACGGAAAATGATATCACATCGTATTGCTATTGAACATTTTATATAAAAATAATGAGATGCGTTATGATTGGAAATGACATAACTATCCACCAGCGTTAAAAAGGACGTGGAATTGTGTGGTTTTTTTTTTAATGATTATATAATAAAAATGCAAAGTATGGTCAACAAGGAAGTGAGTGTTTAGAAGAATTATAATTGCGTTTGTTATTCAATTTTACATTACAAAGTTCCAGACAAAAAGAAAGCTGAGCAATATATTCAGTGGGTAGTATATGGAATTTAAAGTAGTGTCTAATATGAAATGACTGCCTTACACATATGCATATATTTTGCCACAGCTTAATGTCATAACGTTACTGATCAAATATGTAATTCCTGAATATCTAAGCTTATGAACATGTGCGGAAAATGCGATACGCAGCGGATCCAAACAAATTAAGGATTGCAAGTCAGAAAAACGTAAAACACGATACAACTTTATACAGGTAATGAAAAGTGTATCATTCAAGGTTATTTCAGTTTTTCACAAACTCCGATATTGTGGATTAAACAGTAAGAAAAATCACATATCTGTTTATGTGCACTTAATATCGTATCGGTATATATCTATTGATAGTAAATTTAGGCTTAAATTTCAACATTATAAATTATGCTCTTCAACTACTTCAATTAATAGTGTATTTACATATTATGGCCATTGAAATAACTATTTGTCACTGTAAAAATTACCATATGGACAATAAAGTCTTTCACTCACCCTTACTCATTTACTAGATGAATTTTGAATACTTATGCTTAGCATTTATTATTCAAATACAAAAAAAAAAGTTTTCTCTGCATCTTTTTAAAAAGATATCAATTTTCATATACATGTATCTATTGCAACTGATATCAGTTTTATTCCAATGATAATTCAACAAAAACATAAACTTAAGGTATTTAAACTTGTATAACTTTGTCATTAATCACATACGAGATATGACTTAATTTTAACCGTAATTCGGTGGTTGTTTAACATATTTAGTAGAATTAATAATACAAGTCTCTATTAATCAAAATGATAGATTGCAATAAGGGTGAAAGGTCAATATACTAATTGATATACATATAACCGCAGGACTACACTGTCATAATTTTTTCAGAAGTTAAAATCTTTTATAAACGCAAGGATTGATTACCGTTTCATGTACTAATTGTTGATTTTTCGTCAACTGACACGACATGCAACCTAGCTATTTGCCGTAAAGTGAATAACGAGCTCCTGGACGGATGCTTTGGCAGTTGGGAAGATGATACATGTATGTGCGATATGCAATAATATCTGCCTATATATTGCAAATTGTCCTTTTTTAATCGTTCGTTTTACAAGTTTTACAAATATGTACGTCATTTTGATTACTCATTTTGGAACATTTTTACACTATTCTAGATCAAGAAAAAAAATCAGTTATCAATATCCCTCTTGGTGTGATTAATACCGTTCGGATGATTCTCTTCTTTTATCAATTTTTCCTTCAACTATTCAAATTTTAGGAAAAATGTATATTTATTCCTTATTGGGATTATTTTATGTGAATTGGATTTTGAATAAATCAGCATATTGACCTGAAGAAAAGTGATGTCACCGCGCCTGAACGTCACGTGTTTCTACGAGTATAATTGTGGTAAATTGGTTGATGTACAATTGGTTTTCGTGAATATTTGATATTGATATAAAAATAAGGAAATGAGGTATGATTGTCAATGAGCCAACTATCCACCAAAGTTCAAATAAAGTGGATGTAAGCAATTATAGGTAACCGTACGGCCCACAACAATGAGAAAAAACACATACCGTATAGTCGGCTATAAAAGGCCGCGACAAAAAAAATATGAAATAATTCAATTGAGAAAACTATTTGCCTAATTTATGACAAAACACATGTTTAGGATATGGAATAAAACAGTTACTGCCTTTTGTTTGTTGACCTTAGTGTATATCTTTTTTTGCATTGGTGAATAAGACCACATATTTACCCTACCATATGACAGTAATTGTATAGTATTTGAAATATGCAACAGTTTTCGGTTAACATTTTGAAACTTTTGTAAATGTTTCCGATGATGAAAATAAGCAGCAACGAAGGAACGAATCTTATTTTTTTTTTCATTTTGCCTACAACTGATATCTTCTAGTGGATTTAATTGTTTCGTTCAGATTAGTTAGAACAAATCACATTTTCTTTCTATCCGTGTGACATATGTTCTCTGGAGCATATCAATGACAATAGACCACTTTCGAGTTCGTTGGATTTACGTCAAAAACTTTGATTTTAGTGAACATCATTCGTGCTTTTAGGAGCATTGTCACTTCCCTCCCATGTTGACGAGCAGGTGAACAAAAAATTGATGCTTTATTGCAATAATTATACGCCAAATTAAATTCTTATAATTGATAATCAGCACTGCTGTCATTAGGGAATTGTGATTAAGTACCTACGGAACAAAAAATATTTCTAGTTTATCCTGCAGTGTGACAATCACGAAGATGCTTGTTGAACTTTAACAGGCGGTCCCCTCTATCTGGTAAATGACATCATAAAGGCGCGCATAATTGACGATTTTTTCCGTTGAAGGACATAACTCGAAAGTGGTCTATTGACATTAGTTTTCATATACCTATCAATTGCAGTTTTGATATTTTCAGTTTTTAACTGGGGTAGATTCATCACTAAGTGAATAACTATAACTGTTGATAATTATATTAATTCAAGCTTCCTTTTTCTGCATTGTCAATTTAAAAAGGTTTACAGTTTTTATTGATCTCTTGGTTGTTCATTAACACAGTTTAACAATAAAAGCAATGTCTGTTGAATACAATCATATAATATATATTTCGACAATCAAGCCATTGTTTTTACCAAACTGATGCCTGTTTCTATCAATCCTCACGGAATCATTTGCCATAGTTTTCATCTTTAAAGTCAACTTAACAATTTCAGGGAAAATGTTTTTGTCAGTTTCTTAGGAGATATACATTACAACATAGTATAATTTAATTTATATTTAAAAATTACATTTTCAGAGTGATGATAACTATTACCAAATCTTTCAGAGAGAAAAATTGATATAAAGTTATGTTTAGTAATTTTTAGATATCGAATAACGACTTTAAGTTCAACCTTAACAAACCTTGGTATTGTACGAAATCGCCAAATATTTAATTGTCTAGATATGTTCTATTATAAAAATGTGTTCCACTTACCAGTGTTTCTAACTGTTGCAGGAACTCTTTTGTTTAGATTGTAGAACTTTGGCCTTGACAAAAACCTAAACTTTGTTTTTCTTGTATCGATATTGATTGGCGATTGTCTCCTCTTTGATCCACATGTTATCCAACAAAGGTGAATTTTGCACCAATAAGCTGGTCCTAAAATATGTAAATGCTTTAATATAGTATCTGATGTTCAGTAGTTGTCGTTTGTTGATGTGGTTCATAAGTGTTTCTCGTTTCTCGTTTTTTATATAGATTAGAGCGTTGGTTTTCCCGTTTGAATGGTTTTACACTAGTAATTTTTTTGGGGCCCTTTATAGCTTAATGTTCGGTGTGAGCCAAGGCTCCGTGTTGAAGACCGTACTGTGACCTATAATGGTTTACTTTTATAAATTTTGACTTGGATGGAGAGTTGTCTCATTGGCACTCATACCACATCTTCTTATATCTATTATAGGTCTTGTAACGAAAAACAAAGACTGGACGTTACCAAACCCGTATAAACATGGAAAAAAACTAATTAATCGCAAAATTTAAGGCAAACAACACACATTGAACAGCAAATCTGAAGTTTAGCGAATGTAAACTGCAATGAAAAAAAAAACAGTACATTCAACAGAAAACCACTAAAAGCTAGTGATATGCTATGTTATTTAAGTGAGACACTCGCTGTGTTGTGTATTTCTTTTTTATAAATATAGGACCAGTAATATCAGTCTCTCAAGGTAGTAGCTACAGTAATTGTTTATTTGCAAACTATTGAAGACCTACGTTTTGCAATCTATTGAAGAAATAATTCATGGGGGTTTGAATTTATACTCGTTTTACCACGGGTTGGCCCTTCATACTAAATATTTTACCACGAACGATCGCAATAACAGTAAAATCAGTATAAATTCAAGTCCCATGAATTATTTCTATTCTAATAAGACAAATACGACAATTCTTTTGGATCGAAGCGCTCTTGGTAAAGGCAACATTTGCCGTTCCCGTCATTAAATCCACTTATAATATTGACGTAAAAGAACGAATAAAACTGAACTAGTTACATGCTTAAACTATTTACAAAAACATACGTAGATAGGTTTGGATGAATTTAAATGATAATCTTACTTATATGTAAAAAAAATGGCTTTTAACAAATTTTAGCATTGTTTGTTTATGTTTCCTTGTTTTGATGACTTTCAGTTTCACAACCGTGCATTTTCCCGTAAAGTGAACATATTCTTATGTCGGCGTTCAATGACGTCATTACACCGATTGACGTCGGGTAGCTCATTCATGAAAAAAGCATATGACGTGGGAGATTGGTCGGAACAGCCCAAACAAATCATGACGTTGCCGATCAGCTGACATACAATATATTTATATTTTACCGCGGGTGTGTACTCAAAGCGTTTGAAGAACGTCATATAAGAATGTTATTTCTAATCACACGAAACACGCAAAATACATACATCACACTAGAAAATTGGAAATATGTCAAATAAGATTATTAGTATTGTTATACTTGTTCATTTTTTGTGTTTAAAAATGTGAAGAAGACAGATATCTTTTGGTTATGACTTTATCAAAGATTAGGTTATAGTAAATGTCACCGTCTGAACACATATCGCTTGACGGCATTAGAAACTTACTTTCACGTGAAACATATCATTAAATATAAACGTATAAAATATGAGGAAGTGTCAGACGTTTAATCAAAGTTGAAGTCTTTCCTGCATCAAGACAGAAATTTCTTCTTGTCATTCCTTTGGGTTTTGTTTCGCATTATATTATTCATGTTATTAATCTTATATTTCGACCGTTTTATATATAACTTTTATTATTTAGTACACAACATGTCGCAGAAACTTTTTCATATAACATCAATCTTTAAAGTGACTTTCGAGGTCTTTGGTCTGAGAACCGAACTTCTTTTCCTTATGCAATTATCTACCGAAACACAGACAAACTGTCTACTTTTTCCCCCTATAAAACAGTTAGTGCTACAGCATATACAAAAGGTGAAAAATGTTTGGTCACCGTCAACACGATGCGTAACATTAAGTCAAAGCTAATTTAAAGGTCATAGTTGAGTTGTTTCCTCTTGTCAAACATGTTGCAACTAAAGTAAAAAGTCAGGGATCATCTATATTTTTTGTCAATGAACCTTGTTATCAATTTACATCGGAAACTGTTATAAACAGAGATCAGACAATAAATACCTAGCAAGTTCAGATGATCAAAATCTGAATTAAATTTGTAGCATTGATTCCATGATAATCACATATAGAACAGATCTATTTTCTTTGCAAATATAACAATAAGACGATGCGGTATGATTGCCAATGACACAATTCTCCATCAGTGGCAATATGGTATAGAAGTTAGGAGCTATATGTCACCGTACGGCCTTCAACAATGAGCAGAGCCCATACCGCATAGTCAGCTATAAAAGGCCCCGGACTGACAAATGTAAAACAATCAAACAAGAGATCTAACGGCCTGATTTATTTACAAAATAATGAACGAAAAACAAATATGACATACAGCAACAAACGACTACCACTGAATTACAGGCTCCTATCTAGGGACAGGCTAAAGCTTACTTCTTTTCTTTTACTGTGTAAAACGGCCTTGACATTGTGAACATGTCGGATGTGTTTGAGGAAGCAGGAGATGCTTACTAAACATTTGCTTTAATATCGTTCATTGGTTAGTTTCCAGTATTGTATTGTCTTTCAAATTTGTCGATGTTTGTGTTGTCTGTTTAATTTCTTGGTGATATAGTGTGCAATACCAAAACGAAGTTTTATTTCAGTCTATTATTCTAAATATTATGATCGTAAATATGGTTATAAAAAGAAAGGTCAAATGTTACGGGAAAACCCTTTAAATTGCTAAAAAAACAAGTATTCTGTTACATTTTAAACAGTAACTTACATGACTTACCTTCACAAAAAGTCCTATTGTAGCTAAAATGGGCTTTGTTGATATCTTCATAGTAACACTGTCCTAGGGTGGGAGGTCGCACCTGTAGATATCCAGCTCCATCAACGAAGGTCAAAAACAACGCGGCTACAGAAAGAAACGATAGTAAGACTTCCATCCCTGAAACCCATCGGCGGCAAATAAAAAACTCATAAAAAATACCTGACTTATATTTAATCAAAGACGCTGATTGATTTTTAATATTTAGCAGATTTATGCGTTATATAAAGTATGACAGTATGCCATAAATCATTTTTGACATGGTTATATTTTTATATTAATTTTATAAAACTATATAATCACTTTAAGTATGAACGATATATTGTCTTTTCTATATCTTTGTTAAATGCTGGCCAATTTGTAACAGTGCGGGTCAAAACTGGTGTATTATATTTTACACAGTTAAGTTATAATAAAGAAGTCTATTTTCGTGTCTTTATGCTGTAAATGTATTATCAATAGTAGATACAGACCTTATAAATTTCATGCGTCCGAAGCGCTTTTCTTGATTTACCTTCATCAGGAACGCTCAATGCCAAATATTTGAAAGCCAAGGATGTTTAAGAACCAAAACAGTTGAAAAGCTCTACGACCAAAAGGACATAAAAAAAGCCAAATCCATCTAAGGTACATTTGGCTAAGGTGAGGAGAAATATTTTTCTCACACCGCTCAGGAAATGTGAAAATAGCACAAAAATTAGAGAAAGATGATGCTCACATTGGATGTAAACAGATTCATATTCTCGTCTTGGATGCATGATTTCTTTAGTAGTCGTTATTGGCTTTGGACTAACCTTCAGTAACTGTGAGTACTCTTATATTGTTACTTTGTCTTTAGCCTTTTAATCTTTCATTTTCCACGCAAACATGTTTTAACCTTTTGCATGTGCCTGTCCAAGTCAGAAGCCTGTAGTTCATGGTTGTCGTGTGTTGCTGTGTATTATAGTTGTTTTTCATTAATTATTTTGAACGTTAATCATGTCGTTATTTTTCTCGTTTTAATTATTTTGCCTTTTTCGGAACCTTTTATTACGGAAGCGTATTAATGTCATCCTTTTTTATTTATTTTTTTCATATTGTCTTTAATCTTGGAAGTACAAATGTATCAACTTTAATCTTGGAATTTCCAACTTTAATCTCGGAATTATCAACTTTAATCTTGGAATTTCAAACTTTAATCTTGGAATTATCAACTTTAGTCTTGGAGTTATCATTCTTAATCTTGAAAATCCAACATTAAACTTGGGAATTCCAACTTTAATCATGGAATCATCCACTTTTAACTTGAAATTATCAACATTAAACTTTCAAGGTATATCACCTTTAAAATTTATTCCCAAATGAACTCTAGAAATTATGAGTGATAATATATATTTAGTGCTTATATAAGCAAGGGTCATAAATGAAATATTGTATATAAGTAAAGGTCATTCTTTGTGTATATTTATATAAATATAGTTAACAAATATTAGTGAATGTTATATAAAAATGGGTACAGTAAAGCACATCGAACAGATGGCACTGTTTGGCAGAGGCTAGAATCCAGTTTAATGTTGATATTTCTAAGATCAAAATTGGTATTTCCCAGTTTAATATTGATAATTCCAAGATTAAAATTGATAATTCCAAGATTAATGTTGAAATTTCCAAGATTAGATTTGAAATTTCCAAGTTTAAAGTTGGAATTTCTAAGATTAAAGTTGATAATTCCAAGTTTAAAGTTGATGATTCCAAGATTAAAGTCGACAATTTGAAAAATAAATGATAAAAAGTTATGACTCTAATACGTTTCCGTATTGTATAGTTTGCTAAAACATATGTATAACTGCAAAACTTCCTTGTTTTTTGTTTTTTTTTTTTTTTTTTTTTTTTTTTTTTAATCAAACTGTCGCAATATAAAGTTTAAAGTTGGAATTTCCAAGTTTAATGTTGATAATTCCAAGATTAAAGTCGACAATTTGAAAAAAAAATGATAAAAAAGGATGGCCCTAATACGCTTTAGTATTTTATAGCTTGCTAAAACATATTATATAATATATAACTGCAAAGCTGTCACAGTATAAAGTTAGAAAAACTTACACTGTTAGTACAAGCTACTGAGGTTAACCATAGGTCGCATGCATACAATTTGTGTCCTTTCCGGATATTTCCTATGTCACAATGCTTATATCATTACGTCACAGAAAGAACCGATAGTTCGATGACGTCGTTTACGTCTTTTGACCTCGGGTCAATCGTTATAACTAATTCATAAAAAAAAACTCGAGCTTGGTTTATACACATACAGGTGAGTCCGAATTTTTGTTATGCGAGTCAATAATAAATCACCTTTTTTATCTATTTTTTTTTCACAAATAGGAAAGCAAAATTTAACTCAATATTTTGTTCTTATAACGGGTTTAATTCATACTGTCAAAATAGTAGATTATGCCTTTTAATCCTTTTGAAATGATTAATTTACAACTGAATTATCTGACTTTTTTGGCTATTCACAAACGTGGTAAAACTGAATTAGAAAAACAACAACCAATTAAAAACTAAAATAACAAAAATACCGGACTCCAAGGAAAATCCAAAACCGAAAGTCCCTTATCAAATGGCAAAATCAAAAGCTCAAACACATGAAACGAATGGAAAACAACTGTCATATTCCTGACTTGGTACAGGCATTTCCTTATGTAGAAAATGGTGGATTACTTTACCCGTTTGTAAAGGATAGTGTACTTTATTGTTGTTTCAATGCAAGCTGAACAAAACATTTTAAAAACCAAATCTTTACCCAATGTACTCTCATATTTGAAAATTTTACACTTAACCAATAAAGAAATACTGGATGAAATGTTATCATATAAAAAATAAAGAGATGTGGTATGATTGCCAATGAGACAACTATCCACCAAAGTTCAAATGAAGTGTAGTTGTAAGCAATTATAAGCAACGATATGGCCTTCAACATTGAAAAAATCCATACCGTATAGTCTGCTTTAAAGGCCCCGATATAAGAAATATGAAAATATTCAATTGAAAAAATTAACGGAATAATTTTTAACAAAACAATTTACGAAAGAACAAATATGACAAACATGCACTACATGAACTACAGGTTCCTGGCTTGGGACGGGCGCATATATAATGTGGCGGGGTTAAACTAGGGTGCTGGTACCAACCCTCCCCTTACCAGGGACAATGGTGAAACGGCACAACTCAAGAACAAACTATTCAAAAATAATAAACAATAAAACAAATGTAAGAAACAGCAATAAACGAAAACTTCTAAATTACAGTGTCCTGGCTTGGGACAGGCACATATAGAATGTGGCGGGATAAATTAGTTGGAAATCGCGAACCCTTCCCTTAAGCTGGGACAGTGGTGTAACAATTCAACATAAGAACAAACTATAAAAATCAGTTGAAAAGGGCTTAACTCAACAGATCGACACTAAGCAGAAAACATCTAAGGAAAACACAGAGCGGACGTGGCAGCATATCTATGCATCCCACAACAAAAAAGACACTATAGTAAGGATTTGAGAGTATTCGCAGTTACTGACATAATTGCTTTCCCTAAAACAAATTTTAAAAGTGGGTATCTAATTAAAACAAGTACAAATATTGAAATATTGAACTATACATTTTAGGGTGCACTCAAATATAGTGACTCAAAACGAGGTTTGTTTGGTTATAACGGAAGATACGCACTAACACTGTTTACAAATAACAATAAACAGTAGCGTAATATGAACACAAATAAAAAATGAAAAAATTAATATATTCGAAATGTTAACCACTACTATGATAAAGTGTGGGGGTTTTATGTAAAAAATCTTGTCAGGTGTTGCCACAAAATCCCAAATTTCCATTGAATGCAATGCAATGATTAATATCATTGCTATAAATGATATTTCCTCATGGTTGGTATATGTAAAAATAGCCTGTTTATTTCATATATTTCCATCGCTGTTTAACATTATTGAACTTTCAAAATCATAAAACACAGTCATAAGCCAAAAATAGTTTATTTATATTATACGATGTCATTTGTAATAAATGTGAAATGAACGTGGTAATATATCGTAATTGCGACTTTCAATTCAACGACATATATGGCATGAAATTCTTTAATATAATCCTGCGTAAAAATCATCCGTTTTTATTATTAATTGATGCAAGGTCAAACAACTGTTCTTATATTATACATATTTTAAAAAGCACAACATGAAGTTCCGGGAAAAAAGTTCTACGGATTGTATTGTGTATGGTGGTTACATACTTCACTGATGTGGTAATATTTATATATTAATTGTTTAAGTTACAATGATCGTAATACTAATGATTTTCTACCCAATGAATGATTACCTTAGCTTTATTTGGAAAAACCTTTCAGAATTGTGGGTCTGCAATGCTCTTTAACGGGACACTAGCTGTCAAATTCATGGTAACCGATTTGACTCAAATTCTCATATTTGATTTATAACAATGTAAAACATTTATCAAAAGTATAAAAAGTCTAAAATAAACAATTTACAGGGCATGGGCTCGAGAATATGCAACTTCGTTTCGTGTGTATTTTAGTCTAGACGCCATCTAATTAACTATCGAGTTGACTTCCGAAAACCTCGATGGTCATATAAGCGATATAAACATAAATATAGATATAAATAGAAAGTGGACTCGTGCAATTGGATTTTTCTAGGTCTGTTTAATTTCATATTATAGATTAAAAATATATGTTAATCATTGTTTTTACCTGTTTAAGAATGTTAACTTGAAGTTTACATGCATACGGATTCAATGAGGTCGAATTATTCACTTGCAAGTGTATAATTCATCATCAATGTTTCTTAGCTTATTTTGACACAATTGAACCATATTGGCCGCTAAAAGCGAATTATTATTTCACTATTTCACTTTCATTAATGATTGAACAAAAACAATCATATTTTAAATGTTTATAAATCTCGTAGCTAGTGCCCCTTAAAACAGAACTTTCACATGTTGCATTTTAGCTCTGACGGTAATGGCACAACATGAAGCGACATTGCATATCAGTTAGAATTGCACGCTAACTTTAACTGCGTGCGAGATAAAAAAAAAAAAAAAACCATAACGCACAAATAA